CCCCTCATTTTTAGAATTTCAGATTTCAAAGTTAAGACCCCTTGTTTTTAAACATTAGATTAAAATGTAAAAAGTATCACATAGGTTAAACAAAATGTGTCAGCCTGCCAGAGCTGGCCCAAAGTTTGTCATTTGCAAAATCAGAATAAGGAAAGATCAAATAGAAGAAAAAATACAATTATAAACTTAAAACTGACATTTTAACAGAAACACACAAAAAGAACAACAGAACTGAAACTGCAGAAAATCAAAGCAGAGGTTGGGATGGAAACTCATAAAACTTACTTAGACTGATTAGAAATGACTAATGACGAAAATGGATAATGAAAGTTGGAGGCTAACATAGGGTGACCAGTGTTCCCAAACCACTGACAACAAGAAACAGGAGGGTGCAATAATTCAAGTGTGACAAGAGAAAAATTCTTGCGTTAGGAAAAGGAGCTCTTTAGTTGATGAAAATATTCTTAGATATATATCCAAATACCTACCTAGAGAAAGTAATTAAAGATAGATTCAAGTTCAAAGACAAAGTTAAGGAATGATCTTCATGACCTTGGGGCAGGCCCAAAAAGCCTACACCTCAATGGGAGACTGACAAATTGAACGTCCCTAAAATTAAGATTCTTTTACTCAGAAAAGCATTGAGATCCTCAAACGGCGGTCGACAGATTAGGAGCTGCTATATACAGCAATACACCTATCAGATGAGAAACTTGTACCTTGTAAAAGGGAGACACTGACAAGGAGCCCAGGAAGAAAAGAATGTCAGGCACTGATTACGGTAGCAACTGTGCAATCTACTTGACGTGACTGAAGTACGGAGTCATCTGACATATGTATTAACTCCCAGGTGTGATACTTCCTTTAAAAAGAAACATCTCTAAAATATAAAGCCTCATAAATCAGCATGCAAACATTATGAGCTAGGAACTGAACAAGTCCCAATATCCAAGTATGAGCACGCAAAGTGCCACTGATATCAGAAAACAACGCTGAAATCACAATACGCTGGACTGTCTCTTAGACGAGAAGAGGGTAAGACTTTGGACATGTTATCAGGCAGGATATAGAGGAAAACATCAAGCTTGGAAGAGCAGAGGTTCAGCAAAAATAATGAGGAAGACCCTTGAGATGGATTGACATGATGTTTGCAAAAATGGACCCAAACATGGCAATGATTGTGAAGCTGTTGTAGAACTGACAATAGCAACTACTGCAAGGGATGTGGGGTCATTCCTCTCCTAGAAGCTCTCTTCACTTTGTTGTTGAGTGTGAACTTACCCATTGTTGTGCAAGATTTACGAACCCTGAATATGGTCACTAATGAGGACTTAGCGGTTTTGCTCTGCCATGAACAACTGAAACGCTTCCATACTAAATGACACGTGCAAGAATGTTCTTTCTGCATGGCCCTAGAACCATAACCCCCAAATGCCCACCAACAGGCACATGCACAAGCCCAGCATGGCACGTTCACAGGGTGGAGTCACCCAGCAGTTCAAAGAATGCTACACAGAATCAAAGGGATGAGTCTGGCAGTCACAACGCTGAGGGAAAAGCCACACAGCAAAGAATACTAGAAGTACGGCTTCATTTACATGATACTGAACAATTCAAAAACAGCAAAGCTAATTACGTAGTAGAGGCTAGAAAGTAGTCACCTTGGTGGGTGGGGCCGAGGGCGTTGAAAACCCTCAAGTCTGTCTGATTTTAATCAGAAGTATCAACCTTAGCAGTCAAAGAATCTGTCATTATAACCTTGGGCATGGCATTTAATCCCTTTTAGGTTCAGGCCCTTTACCTATAAAATGCGGGCAACATTATCTTGAAGGCTTTTATATGAATGAAATGCAATGAGCTACCCATCCCTGGGTCACATGACTGGCAGAGAATGATTTGTCTGCTTTCACGTCAATTCTGTTTCTGGCTGGAG